GAGAGCATGTTTCGCGCTTTCTTGACGCTCTTAGTACACACTGAGAAGACCGGAACCACCGAATGAGACAATTCTCCAAATCCCTCATAGATCGGGCGTTATCATGGTATGCCAACCTTGCCGTTGGCTCTATCTCTACGTAGGAGGACTTAGTAAAAAAGTTCTATATCAAGTTCTTCTACATTGAAGAAAAGCTAACCATGTTGAATTCATGTACGTTCTACAAAACTATTGAATTCATTTTCTCCTTCCCGATGCAAGTTCTTTATAAGCAACAGAGCTCCAACGCAAAACAGATAACAACAAAAGCAAATTCATACTCAATTGCTAACACTTTACTCTCAATTTGAACAAACCATTCTCTTAAAAAATGGCTTCCGGAGGACAAAGGCACCGAGATAATACCGTTTGGCATCCAGTGAGAAACAAGGCTCCAAACCCCAGAGGTTCAAATTACAGAACTTCGAGCTCCAATCCCACTCGCCGCCGTCCGGTGAGTTCTTTCGAAGAATGCTTGCCATGCCTCCATGGCAATTCCTAGGGAAGCTATTCGAATCCCCTTGGGTTCAACACCCAACATCCTTGTACACTGTTATGGAGGTACCCAAGGAACTTCGGAGCAAAATAAGGGGATGGTACAAGCAGTAACACTATCAGACCTCCATATGATACCGCTATTTTCCACTTGGTTCCTGCCAAACCAAGAAGGCAATTTCAGTCTCCCCAGAATCCACCTGCCAAGCAAGGCAAGTGTTGATCCCACATTTCGAGAGAATTCGAATCAACATCCTCATGCAAAGACCGACAGAGAGGGATTTGGACCACTACATTTCCATCATGTCAGCCCCGTTAGAAGACCCAAATGAAGATTTGGGACTTGGATGGGACATAGAGGACTTTGCAAGCCTCAACTTGGAAGAAGGTAGCGCTCCTAACAGGACCCCGCCAAGCACCACTCACAACACCCCGCTCAACATCCTCTTCTTCAACACTGAGGGTGCCGTCCATCCTAACTTCCTCCAACACTACATGCACCTACATTCTAGCGGACACTTCCACCTCGTCATCATCACAAACACGAAAAAAGAGGAAAGCGAGGCTCAGTTCATAAGCCAAATCATGGGCTACCCCAATACCAAGGCCGTGGCCCCCCTTCCCAGCGGCATGGAAAGGGTGATAGGGGGAATTTGGTGCCTATGGAACGAAGTTGAATCTCCTATGAAGTGGTGGAGATCCCGTGGAATTGAGCCATCACCCAACCAGCCCACATCTTCGTCCGGCCGGCTCGCACCAGATGAAACTTAAAATGTAAACTCTCTGTGAGCAATTAAAATACCCACATTGTATCAAAAGCCTAATTTTAGACTCTAACTCTATCTGAATACTTATCCACAAGAGCTAATGTTTTCAAAACTTTTTAGCATAGTCATGCAGAAATACTCTCACTAGTTAAAAGACCATCTATACAGGGGGGCATTATTGTGGGTACTTATATCAAGCCCAATACATGGCAAGCCTTACAAGTGCCACATCACAAAAACTCCACCTGCATGGCAGACCAATAAGACACCACGTGAGCATATCACATGTTTGATACATGGTGAGGCCTACGGGCGCCATGTGCCAAGGCACCAGGCAAAACCAAGACTATATGTTTAGCCTAAACGGGAGCATACATACAAGCTCAAATATGTCCAAATATGAATAGCCTTGCAACAGGCAATACCATGGCCCTGCAGGGCCCATGGTCCTTCATACGTACTCCAAGACCAAACAACAATATAATCAGCCCCCGGTTCACTTGGACTTGGACTAATAAGCCCTGGCTCTTCGAAACACTGAGGTGGGCCCTGGCCCATTCACCTACTTGGGTTCCTAGGTTAGGAGCTGGACCCAGGCACTACTGCTCGGGATCATCAAAGGATATTGAACTGACGACTGAGGTCATGGGATCGTTGAGATGGTTATCTTCTTGCTAAGACAACTCTATCTCGACCAAGCTTGGAGAAGAGGCAATAACGACCTTACATTCTTGTCACACGATGCATATACGAAACGTTACTTTCCGCCTGCCTTCAAGCCACAGACGGAAAAAGGGCTTATATCACTTCTGGTAGAGTTAGAGAGAACGAGCCACCTGTTCAACAGGTTGCTTGGGCTCCAATACTCTTGCGGCCTATATAACGCATCGTATATGTAGTAAGAAACTTTACTGCACCACAACAATACTCCATAATTCTAACACACTAAGTCTCACACTTAAACACTCTCTCTCACATTCTATATTAGTATTCAAAGTCTATCACTGCCAACCTCTCCCTCTCCAAGCTTGCCTTGACCTCCTCCTCTCCACCTCCGGTGATCTCAGTCCATTAAAGTGCCCGCTATCTTCCCAAACTATCTCCAACCACCCCTCTCACCCACACCATTACATGATATAATCTTTCCCTTATTCTACTTGTACCAATTGTAGAATGTAAAAATAAGAAGAGATGTTGCACTTGCACTGCATTATTTTTGTTTGTTGGGTGGTCTCACAAAAGTGGAATGGGCAATGCATATATTGGACTCTATGTGGAATATAGTTGGGCCATTGTGGTGAACCACAGTGTGGGGCCAAGCCTTGTTAGGTGCTACATTGGTAACTGACTCAGCTACATTCAACCAAAAGATGCCTACAACTCCTAAGTTATATTGATGCTTGGCCTTATAGCACATTTGTAAATTATAAGGATACGTCAATTCAATAAATCCTATAAAAGTAGGGTATTATTTTGATTTCACAGTTTTCTTCTCTAAAAACTAAGCAAAGTATTGAGAAGTTATTATTGTATTTATCTTAACAATTATACTCTAATACTAAACAAGAATTATTACAATCTACCTTTTTCATAATAGTGCAGATATGTGACCTAAAGTATTTAAAAAGTATCTAATACTTCTCAAAATTAAAGAAATTTAATATCAAGTATGGGATACATTTGAAAAGTATATGATATGTATCCATCCACGAGTATCTAAGGAGTATCGGTATCTGACAACTCCCTTTTAGAAGTATTCATGCTTCATAATCTATCACCGAATAATATATTTCTAAATGTTACATATCCTTCCTAACCCCTTATATTCAATTCGAACAATCAAGCACGCTAAACGGGTTTATGTTTAAACTAGTGGGCTTAGTGCGCTCAACTCTAATTAGTTGTCAGTGTCCTATTAACTCTTTTAAGTGTTTGATTTATTGGAATAAAAATGAAATATAATGTTCAGTCCTACTTTATTCATTAAAAAAATAATGCAAAATACAATAAAAATGAAATAATCATTCACTTTTGAACTTTTATAAATTATTATCCGTAGTACGTCAAGACCTGCTCCGGCCCCCGCCTTCATAACCTGTCCGATTTTCCCTACCTCTGACATGATACGTGGCACGGATAGGCACTACAAACCTGCCTCAATCTGCACCGTTGCCACCCCCATACAAACCCGCCTCAGTTTATTAGAAACCCACCACTCAAATTGCTTCACTCACTTTTTCTTTGGACCTCTACCATAATCTCCAAAACTAAGAAAAACATATACGAACACGTGACACAACATGAACAAGGACATACTGGCATGTTAATTTTCAAAAAATGAAGGACACAACACGTGATGAACACGCATGAAATATATAATTTTATATAATGATTAGGGTCTCCAAAATTTGTCTAAAATTTAGGGTCTCCTAATAATTTAATTATTAGGTTCGGTTTGGTTTATTGAAATGAACTAGAATAAAACAATCATATTATAATATTCATTTCATAGTTGGTTTATTAAAAAAAGATCAAAAATATATTACAGATAAAATTATAATTGACTATTGTGAGAGAATAATAATTCTATATAGAAGTTAAAGAATGTCCATTCTATTTCATTTCATTCCAATTTTATAAACATTACATTATTGTATTAGTAGTTTAAAAGTGAAGTTTCACTTAATTTTTTTAAATAATTAAAGTGGTGAATTATTTCATACTAATGGATATTTATTTGCTAAATTTATATTGTTTATAGAATATTGCCAATTGTACCTGTTACAATTGCCTCTTAAGAATTTTTTTTATTTTAAAAGCTAAAGTTAATCAAATTATATATTCAATCAGCTAACATAATAAAGCCTCCGTTTGGAAAGTGAGTTGGCTTTTTGACTTTTTGACTTTTTTGGCTATTTTAGCCCGGGCTTAAAAGCTTGGTTTGGGAAGGGCTTTTTGACTTTTTGGCTTTTTTGAGTTTTTTTGTGAGAGAAAAATGTAATGATTATGGGTTGGATGTGATGTTTTGTTTGTTATGGTTAAAATAGTTTATTTTGTTTTTTGTGACTAAAATAGCCAAAAAAAAGCCCAAACCATGGCTTCCCAAACGAAGCCAAAAACAATTTGAATAAATTAGTAAGGCTATCCATTGAAAATGTCTAAAATATATCTCAATAACTACGATTTATATCCATTATACAAATCATATGAAATAGTTAAGAAAATACAATATTATAATAATTATTGTGAAAAATAAATTATAAAATTATCACATAATATTTCAAAATAACTTTCGTTCATAGAACATGTAAAAAATTAACAATTTTAGTTCTTATATATATGCGAGAAAATTTTGTATCGATACAAAATTTAATTTTACCATATGCACATTTGTTACAATTTTTGTGTTTTTGGTTATGACTTATTATGTTATTAATTATAACATTATTTTTATTATAATTCAATAATTGTTTAATTATACCTCATCATTTTTTATTATATCCTAATTTTATTTTTTTTTAGTTATGAGATGATTAAACTTATAAATAGCATAACTTGCATCTGGAATTTCTCAAAAAAAAAAAAAAAAAACTAAATAAATTTTTTTTTTTTTAATATGTAATAAAGAGAAACAGAGGATAATAGAGGTAAGGTGGTGTTTGGGGGAATGAATATGTGGGGAAATGGAAAAAAAAAGACCTGGAAGAAACCCCAGTCTTTGCAAGCAGAGTGCAGCCTCTCCAATTCATGAGAATCCATGTGATCCCCTTCTGATGATGAAACCAAGCTTTGAAGATCAATCACCGGCACCACCGGTGGAACAAACACCTGTTCGGACGATGTTATGACCGGAGGGTCCTGTTTCTGGTCTTCGCGCACATACCTGGGTGGGATTTTGTTGATGGCAACTTTGGCAAGTTCTTGAACACTGGGTACTATCAGAGATTTCCCAAAGTTGACCACCTCTTCTTCTCCTACTGATTCCTTGTCCATGTTCTTCAAAGTTCCAAACTTTTTATTAATCTCTGATTCAATCTTCTAATATGTGATGTGATTTGAAGGAAAAGCAATCCTTAGGCAATAGCTGCCTCCGGAAATGTAATAGTTGCGTCTTAGAACAGAAAAGCAAAGTTGTGGACTTGTGAAGAGATTTGAATGAAAGGACAAGAAAAAAAAGAAAATGTGTTGGATGAAAGGACAAGAAAAAAAAGAAAATGTGTGTAAAATTAACTGAACTATAAAAGTATTTTATTTATATTTTATTTATTTATTTATTTTAATCTCTTTTTAAATTTTTCAATCATAAAATTTTGGATAAATAAGCATTGAACAGTCTCAAAATAATTTAAAATAGGGACACTTTTTCATAATTTTTTTTTTTCTTACTTATGTTTCATTTAATTCATATAATTTTCTTATATTCTAATAAATTATATAAGTGACATAGTTATCAAAACACCTCTAATAATATTCACATTTACAATGCGAATGTTTCTTAATGTGAATGTTCACACCATAAATGTGAATGTTAACATGTCAACATGAATATTCATATTGTCAATCTGAACGTTCACACTATCAATGTGAATATTCATATCACCAAATTGCTAACCATTCAAAAAATATTTATAAGGGTAGAAATATTCATAAAATACCTTAAATATGAAAATTATGATTTGGTAGATCAAATGTTCAAATAATAAGACTTAGGAGACTTATTTATAAGTCTTTTTTTAGACACTTATGGTAGGCTAAGTCTTGTGTAATAAGAATGTATTGCACAAAATCCTACATAAACGTAACGTGACGTGACACCTACATAAACGTAACGTTACGCGACACCCATATAAACGTAACGTAACGTGACACCTACATATGTTGGTGTCACGTTACGTTTCATATAAATATGATCTATGATAACATTCAATTTCCTATATAAGAAATTGAATGTTACCATAGATGTTACGTTACGTTTACGTAGGTGTCACGTTACGTTACGTTTATGTAGATATGATCTATGACAACATTTAATTTCCTATATATGGTTTTACTATTATTTAGGATATTAACAACTAATATTGAGGGTAAATGTGTCAACAAATTTCTCACAGGACTTATGGGAACATAAGGCTCCGTTTGGCACAACTTTCAAATTATAATTTCACCCATTGATTTGATTATGTTGTTTGTTTAGAGTTTTCAAATCATAATTCTACACCCATTTCTCAAAACTCAATTTAAAACATAAATCATTACTTTTCAAAACTCATAACCAAACACATAATTCAAAACTCTTTTCAAAATTCAATTCAAATCAATATTTCAATTTTTTAAATATTTTAAATATTTAAAAAATATTTTAATTTTTTTAAGATTCCGGGATTTAATGAAATTGATAAAACAACAAAAACTCCCTTAAAGTTTAGTTTTTAATACACTATCTCCTTGAAGTTTAATAAAATTATAGAAACTTCCTTTCACGTTTTTTGTAATGGCAGAAACCCCCTAGGCTCAATTTTTATTACATATTCCATCTTTATTACTTTATGGTAAAATGAATAACAAAAAAAATTGACATCATTTAATAATTTAATTATATTTTTAATTTTACTCTTTAAAATTGTGTCCAATTACAATGAAATAAATAAATAAATATATATAATTTCTATTGGGGTTTTGGATAGAAGAAGTGTACATAATCAACAGTAACTATAAACATAACAAAAAGAAAAAAGTAGGCTTAAAAAAGTGGGTAATTACACACAATGTTAAATAATAAAATTAGAAATGTAATTAAATTTTTAATGATGTCAACATTTAGTATTATTTTTTCTACAATACTATGCAGTTTTTGATAAAAGAGGCACACATGATCAGTAATTGTAGGCTTAATAAAGAGAAAATAAAAATTGTATTTATTTATTTGTAATTGGACACAGTTTTAAAGGGTAACTAAAAATATATGAAAATTTTAATATACACACCCTTTGAAAGTGGTGTATCATATGCACGTTAGTTATGTAATTTTTTTTTTAATTACGATCAATTTTCTTCTTTAGTTATGACTCTTCAAATCTTTAGTTATGTCTTATGTGGTGTTTGATTATGACTTTTTTATTTATAGTTATGACTAAAAAAATATGAAATTCTATCTTCTTCTTTTTTCTTTAGTTATAAGATAGTCTTTTCCAAAAACATAATTAAATTATTTAAATGATTTCAGCATATTCTATTTTTTTTTTCTTTTTTTCTTTTTATTACAATAAAGTAACAAAAGAGTGAATCTATAATAACCTCTTAAATCTCAAGGGAGCTTTTTGTCATTTTCGAAACTTTAAGGGAAGTTTTTGCAATTTCATTAAACTTCAGGGGGTTCACTGTAATTGAAAAGTAAACCTCAATGGAGGTTTCTGTCATTTCAAAAACCTTAGGAGAGGTTTCTACAATTTCGCTAAATCTTAGGCTGACGTCATGCTGTGCAGCGTAATGACGTTAGCGGAGCAGGGGGTGTTGAAGCGCAGAGTTTGATGTTAGTGACGAAACGTGCAATACACTCAAAATAAAAGATTCGACACAAGATAAATAAATTTGAATAATGATGTTAAGAGAATGATATACATAATAAAATGGAGTCTCTCTCAAATAAACACATACATATTATTAGGGTTGTGTAAAATATTGTCAAATTTATTAAAATCGCACCGATTCGCATTAACTTACACTGCTTCATCCACTAACCGCGGTTTAAATTTTAAAATTTACAATCCACCTTCGAAATCGCTTTGCTCCGCTATAATTAATACATATATATTTTTTAAGTAATAATGAAATATCAAAGTAAAAATGAGCGTGAATGAAATTTAATATGTGAAATTTATTACAAATTAACTGTTATAGTTATATATAAAATATTATATAAAATTAGTTTGTGTTATATATATATGAAAAATATTACGTAAATTAGTTTTATATATTATGTAAAGGCTTGATAATTGACTAAAATATTCTTCAATCCGCCAATCCGTCCAAAATCACTCAAACCGCAATTTACTAATCTACCAATCCGCTAATCAACCATTCGATTTATAATTTTACTCTTAAACCATCTGAACCGCACCGCGCACACCCCTACATCCGATGATCATTTAATACATGATAGTCATTGAATACAATAATGCTTTAAGTGCTCTTAGAGTTACATCAATAAAAAAAAATGGTGTAACCCTTTATACATATATGGCATTCCGCCTATAATTAAAGGCCGCGTGGCCACAAATAAAAAGGCTTCTCTATCTCGTATTCAACTTCCACACCAATTCATGGTCGTGGTTCATTGTTGGTATGTGGGATGGACATATAATCCAATAAGAAATTTCTATAATCCCAATTAATATACTCTATATATGTATATGATCATGATACTCCACATTATACTTATATAATATGTCAACTTCCGTAATATGTCAACTTCCGTTTATATATTAAAAGACACAATTTCCTCAAAGAGTCTTTATAGTCAACATACAATGTACTACAACAATGTACTACATTAATATATATGCATTATGGGTATTTTTGATTGGGCGGACTGAAAAATGGGGGATTAGAATCCATCGGACTTGAGTCCTGGGACTGTGAATCCCTCGGACTATTTGGTCGGATTGGATATGTATCCTGTGTTTGTTTTTTCATGGGATTAGATGTCTGGATAGGACTATTTTCAGTGAATCTAACGTTTGGTTGGACGGACTGGATAGGATAAATGAACAAAAGACTATTTTACTCATTTTCAATTGTTTACTCAGTAACAGTAATATTAAACATATCTTTAATATTTTAATTATTTTTAGTAAACATTAAACATACTAATGGTTAAATTTTGTTTAAAGATATTTAAACATACTAATATTGATAAAAATTTTTGACTGGTACAGATTATTTTTATTTAAACAAATAAAAATTTATTGTTGAAATTAAACATACTAATGGTTAAATGTTTAAATTTTTATTTAAACAATTAACATTGAAATTATTTTGATGTACAGATTATGTTTAAACAATTAACAAATGTTGATGTAATTAACAATCAACAAATGTAGATGTAATCAAATGTTGACGTATTAAAACATAATTTAATAGATGTTAAATAAATATACATGTTGATGTACAGATGTTGAAATAATTTAATAAACATGTTGATGTACAAATGTTTAAATGTTTAAATAAAACATAATTTAAATAAATGAAATTATTTATTGTTGAAATTAAACATTTAATTGTTTAAATAAAACATCTATTAAAACATCTATTAAATTTAAACAATGAAATTAAATAAAACATAAACAAAATTTTAAAATAAAACATCAATAAAATATCTATAAAAAATTATTTTAAAAAATTAAATAAATAAAACATTAATAAAAAGTTAAATAAAATTATTTTATTTTTAAATTGAGACATTTAAATTTTATTGAATTTTATTAAATATAATACATAATTAAATAGTAGAGGGTCAAAATGGTCATTTTCGCATATAATCCAAACAGTAGCCCCCCCAAAACAACCCCCCCCCCCCCCCAGGACAGGATAGTCCCCCATATGGGGGACATGGAGTCCGGCCGGACATGGAGTCCGCCGGACTAAAAAAAAATCAAACGACGGATAAGGAACACTATTTGGATTGTAATCCAAATAGTGGATAGTCCCCCCCAATCCCCCCAATCAAACACGCCCTATATATATTATAGTCAACTTGCAATGTACATTATAGTCAACTTACAATGTACTACAACACACATAACTCTTGATTAGTTCTAATGTCATAAATGGTCCAATATAATTCTCAACACATGCATTCATCAATAAGGGTTTTTAAGCATGCACATACACCAATGATGAATCTAAAGTACATATACATCTTGTAGTCTTACCAAACCCCACATAACAACCCCGCTTGACCAGTTGCTAGCTAGAAAGAACACGTTACCTCTATGTAGCATAACCCGCTTTACCGGTTGCTAGCTGGCCAGAAGGAAAGTGTTACCTCCATATAGCACAGTCTATTTTATTGGTTGCTAGTTAGAAGGAATGTGTTACCTTTATGTAGCACAATTACATTCTACCTAACAAGTGCACCGCAATTTACTTCCATTCAT